GAGCCGGCTGGAATCACACATATGGTTGTCACGTACACGGAAGGTACCGAGAAAGGGGGGGGGGATGCCCAAAGGGCTTTAAAAGGGATACAGCTGATGCATATGGCAGAGCCTCCTCCTGTACATGCGGAATGTATGTCAGACGGCCGCTCCCGGATTGCAATCTGTCAGACAATAAACCGGTGATTTGCAACTTCTCCCCGTGTCAGCTGTGAATCTCTTCTCATCCACGGACCCGGTGGAGACGCCGTGCTCCAACAGTAGTCAGCATGATTAGCCGTAAGTCATGTCAGTAACTGCTTGGTATGTAATTTAAAAAAAAATATTTTGTACAGAAAAGTTATGTAGTCTTTGTCATTAGTAATTCTTCTTGCCAGTAATTGCTGAGAATGCAATATTTAACATAGTTACAGCCCTGTTTACTTAAAAAGATCCAAAATTCTTTAGGAAGCATTATATCAATATATCAATCAATTTGTATTTCATTATGTCTTGCATTGTGTCAACAAATGATTGCATTTATTGAGCTGTTCAGCTCTTTTTAATGAAAAAAGATCAAAAATTCTCAAGGAAGCATTATATCAATATATTTTTTATTTCATTATGTCTTGCATTATGTCAAGAGATGTTTACATTTATTGAGCTGTTCAGTATTTTTTGCTGAGATTGCAATATTTAACATAGACACTGCCCTGTTTACTTAAAAGGATCCAAAAATTTCCAGGAAGCATTATATTAATATATATATCAATATATATTTTTTTTATTTCATTATGTCTTGGTTTATGTCAAGAGATGTTTACATTTATTGAGCTGTTCAGTATTTTTTGCTGAGAATGCAGTTCTTAACAAAAAACCTGTGGATTGAAACTGTTTCAGAGCCCCAGATGAAGTCCCGGGGTACAACCACGTGGTCAGGCTGGCGAGGTACTTGGTGGGGCTACGCCACGAGCCCTGTATCTCAGAGAGTCACATTGCCAGGATCGTCTCTCTGGAACAACCTGCCGGAGAGAGAGGCAGCGTGTCTCCTACCCACCGAGGCACAGGGAGCGGCTCCTTCAGGGCAGGTTCAAGGCCAGCCACTCGAAAACGTCAGTGTGTGCAGGAAAGGAAAGCTTGAAGCGGTAAGTGAATTGTTTGTATAGAAGATCGCTGGGGTGAGGCTGAACCGCTGGACTGCCATCCTGCAGGACTACGGCAGGATCAGATGGCTGGTCCTGAGCAGCCCGGGGCTCATGCAGGCCACGTTGCTTCAGCTTTTCGAAATAAACCAGCGTACACTGTCAGTTTGGTAAGTTTGTTTAGCCAACATTAAGTATCTACTGAGGGTTTTTTTTTTTACACGTTAATGATAAATGCTGACTAAGGTTATTTAAAAAAATATCTTGTTTCTCATAGGCATAATGATTTACTGAAGTGGCAAGAACGTGCTGTGCTGTCCATGGACATCCCTCTCCCCAACCCCAGCCTGACATCAGCCGCCTCTCTACCTGAGCCCAGGCAAAAGGAGCAAGAGCCTGCTGAACCTCCTTCTGACCTGAGCCCGTTCACCTTTTCCTCCCCTCCTGACTTGTCTGGGCAGACTGTGCGGAGACGGCAGCAAGCTGCCACTACTGCTACTCTGCATCCCCAGCCAACTCCTCTGCCCTCTGCATCAGTCCCGCCTGCCCCCTTACCTGCCCCGCCGACACCTGAACCAGCCATAGCTTCCCCAGCGACACCGCCGGGAGCAGACTCCCCCGGCAACCTGCCCCGGTTAAAGACTCGGACCACCGAGTGGAGGTGTGGTAGAAAAATTATAAATCAAGGACTTAGAATAAAAGTCTGGACCTCTTAGGTTGGTGAGTAAAGAAAATTTCTTTTATTCCAGCAAGTTCAGCAAAGCGCTCCCATCACACTCTGGCACTTGGTACCAAGTCACACCCAGCACACAGAGCAACCAGTAGATAAAACATAACTCCCAGGACTTCTAAGTCCTGATTGGTCATGAAACATCAACAAACTAAGCTGAAACGTATAACAAACACAATTCTCCTGCTCCATTGGTTCACTTTGGTAGCAAGGTAAAA